TTAACATGAATGCATGTTGGATTTTGTTAAATGACTTTTTTACATTTAATGAGATGACCATGTGGTTTTTGTCTTTAAGTCCATTTATATGTTTTATTACATTTATTGACTTGTGTATGTTGAACCATTCCTGCATCTCTGAAATAGAACCAACTTGATCATGGTGGATGATCCTTTTGATGTGTGTCTGTATGCAATTTGCAAGTATTTTGTTGAGAATTTTTGCATCTGTGTTCATTAAGGATATGGGTCTATAGTTTTCTTTTTTTGTTGTATCTTTACCTGGTTTTGGTATTAGAGTCATAACTGGCTTTATAGGAGGAGTTTGGCAGTTCTCCCTGTTTCTATCTTTTTGAATAATTTAAGCAGTACTGGTTGTAGATTTTCTTTGAATGTCTGGTAGAATTCTGTGAATCCATCTGGGCCTGCACTTTTTTTAATCGGGAGCTTTTGTATCACTGTTTCAGTTTCCTTATTTGTTATGGGTCTGTTTAGTCTGTTGATCTCCTCTTGGTTTAACTTTGGTGGTGGCCATGCTTTTAGAAATTCATCCATTTCTTTATTAGGTTTTCAAATTTAATAAAGTATAGATTTTTAAGGTATTCCCTTACAATGTTTTGGATTTTGTTGGTATCTGTTGCGATGTTTCCCCTTTCATCTCTGATTTTGTTGATTTGGATTTGCTCTTTCTTTTAGTTAACTGGGCTAAGGGTCTGTCTTGTTTAACCTTTCAAAGAACAGCTCTTAGATTCATTGATTTTTTTTTTTTTTGTATTTTCTTTGTTTCTATTTTATTAATTTATGCTCTGAGTTTTGTTATTTCTTCTCGTCTACTAGGTTTGGGGTTGGTTTGTTCTTGTCTTTTGAGAGTCTTGAGTTGTTCTGTCAAGTTGTTTACATGTGCTCTTTCTGATTTTTTATTTTTTATTATTTTTTTAATTAAAAATTTATTTTTATGTGTATGAGTGTTATGTCTGCATGTAAGTAAGTGCACCTGTGTTGTGCAATGCCTGCAGAGGACAGAAGAGGCTGTTGGATGCCCTGGGACTGGAGTTACGGACAGTTGTTAGCTGCTATGTGGGTGCTGGGATTTGAACCTGGGTCTTCTGCAAGAACAGTCAGTGTTCTTAACTGTGGAGCCATCTCGCCAGCCCCTATTATTTTTATTTTATATGTATCTGTGTGTTGCCTGCATGTAGGTAAGTGCACCCGTGTCATGCAGTGCACACGGAGGTCAGAAGAGGCTGTTGGATCCCCTGGGACTGGAGTTATGGATAGTTGTTAGCTGCCATATGGGTGCTAGGATTCGAACCCAGGTCTTCTGCAAGAACAACCAGTGTTCTTAACCTCTGAGCCATCTCTCCAGACCCTTTCTGATTTTTTTTTAATGTAGGCACTAAGAGCTATAAATAATGTCTCTCTTAGGACTGCTTTTAGGGTGTCCCAGAGGTTGTGTTGTTGTGTTTTCATTTTGTTCCAGGAATACTTGTCTTAATTTCGTCTTTGACCCATTTGTCCATATGGATGTTCTTTGTTGGGTATGTGTTCAACAGGAACTTCTAGTCTGCTTTTGTTTAATATAATTTTGGTTCTGTTAATATTGTTTATGTAGCCTAGTTACTTTTTGTCTAGGTGTGGGAGACAAATTGATGGGTTTCAAGTTCTTGCTGGGTTGTAGACTGGCCAGAGTCCTGACTGAGTAGGTCTGTCTGCCTGATCCAGAGGCTGGGAATTTGGTGGTGAGGGGACAGCCTGGGTGAGGCATTAGGGATCTGTGGTAGGGTAATTAGTTAATCTGGTTTGGGAAGCTAGTCCTGGGACTTGAGGTGAAGGAATTGGAGCCCGCCTTTGAGAGGGGCTGTCAGGGGACAGGGTGGGGTGGATGAGAGAAATGGGGTAGATAGTCCTCCTGTGGTGCAGGAATTGGAGTCCGCCTGTGAGAGAGGCTGGATGGGGTGGGGGTGGTTGAGAGAAATGGGGTAGAGAGGCGGTGAGTGTGATCTGACTTACCAAGTCCTGGCTTAGCAGGTCTGTTTGCCTGATCTGGAGGCTGGGAATTTGCTGGTGAGGGGGACTGCCTGGTGAGGGATCTGTGGTGGGGTGGTTAGTTAATTTGGTTTGGGAAGCTGGTCCTGGCACTTGAGATGCAGGAATTGGAGCTGGCCTATGAGAGAGGCTAGCAGGGGACAGGGTAGGGATGGATCTCTTAAAATTTTTTAAAAATTCATTTTTATAATATTTCTATGAGTATTTTGCCTGCATGTGTGTAAGTGCATCTTTGTGTGCAGTGCCTACAGAGTCCATAAGAGGGTGTTGAATCCCCTGGAACTAGAGTTAGAGATGGTTTTCAGCCACCATGTGAGTGGTCGGAGCTGAACTCAGCCCAGTGCTCTTAACTGCTGAGCCATTTCCTGAGTCCTTTGTTTCCTTTCTTTGTGATTATAGGTCTTAGAACTTTATTCTGTATTGTAGTCTGTTTTATCTGACCATTTTAGACAGCTATATTGTTTTTGGAATGAAACCCTTCTGAAATTATTCATTCCTGTGATTCTTTCCATACTGTTGTACATAGTCAATGAGCAACTATTTGCTTATCAATCTTTAAGTAGCATGTCAGAATCAGTTGTATTGTCAGAATCAGTTGTACTCTGTGTGTGTGTGTGTGTGTGTGTGTGCGCACACACACACACACCCCTACACCTGCACGCCCATGCATGCACATGCACGCACATGCATGCATGGAGACCAAAGATTGGCATTGGCTATCTTTAATGCTCTCCATCTTAGTTTTTGAGATAAGGTCCCTTTATTGAACCTAGAGCTCACTGATCCAGCTAGACTGGCTGGCCAGCAAGCCCCAGGGATCCTCCTGTCTCTGCCTCCCCAGCAGTGGGAGGCATCTCCCTCACCCCAGTTACATTCTTTGGAAAGGAGTGCAGTATAACTATTTATTGAGGGTGGCCCAGTTGGCAGGCTCAGTCCTTCTTGATGGCAGCTTTCCGTGGTCACCAGTACTTGCTCAGTTCTTCCGGCTTCCTCCTGGTGCAGATGTCCACCTTCGCTCTCTTAATGAACCTGAGTGCCCACTTATCATTGGAGACCTTGAGCAGCTCCATGGCAGCTCATAGGGTGAGAAACTGAACACTTCTCAGATCTTGTCCCCTTGATGGATTTGGTGGGTTTGGTGAGGCATACATGGTACTGACTGTGCCTTGGCTTGCCCACATTCTTTGCCACTTTGTGACCCTTGTTGAGGCCTATGACTGTGGGGTAGGGCAGAGCCATGACTACTGCTGTTCAGTAATAGCCATGACAGGAAGACCCACTTATATTCTTTTAAGTACAAATCCAACTATAAGAAAAAGTTGCATATATCACAATAATTATGCCACTTTTGCTCTAGAAACTTACTGTTTCACAGTAGTTAAATCAGAATGAATAGACACTAACTATGTCAGGTATGGTGGTGCCTGATTTGTAGTTCTGACACTGAGGAGGCTGAGGCAAAAGGGTTGATACAATTAAATTATAGGCTGGTTAGGAGTATGTAGCAAGACCCGATCTTTCATAAAAAGACATGATTGAAGGAGCTACTGATGTATTAAGATTTGTTCTCAAATTAATATTTAAGAGAGCCATATGAATGATACCATTTTTGTCCTATAAGTAAAAAAATATACATAAGGGAAAAATGAAATTTGTCTTAGTTTGCTTGGGCTACTGTGACAAGGTTATCTTAGATCTTGTTGCAATAGTTTATAAACAGCAGAAACTTATTTCTCACACTCCTGAAGGCTTGAAACAATGAGATTAGGGTGACAACATAGTAAGGGCCCTCTACCAGGTTGTAGGTGGCTAATTTCTTGTTACGTTCATATGGTAGGAAGAGAGATTTCTGGGATTGTATTATATTATTTTTTAATTTTAAAAT